TTTGGCAAAGGCTAATGTATTCTCGAGCATCTCACCACGGCCCCGATTGGCAGGCAGGGAGCCACGGTGGAAGGAAGTTGAGCGCTCCGGGGCCCTCGCCGAGCCCAAGGCAGTTGGTGGTGGATCAAAGCCACGACGGCCGGGCAGCCAAGCTGGTTAAACCGACAGGAACAGGCAGACACACCTAACCAACCAGCTGTCTCCGGTGAGGAGCCAAGGGGAAAAACACAAAAAAAAAGGAAAGAATGGCGGAAGAAGACGTGGGACAAAGTGGAACAGAAACTCCGACGTTTTAGAACTCAATGAGCCAGCTGATTGGATGCTTACGAAGTGCTTTGATAATGAGACGATGCCAGGAAGTCTCGCGAATTAAACGCATCGCATAAAAGTCAATGCATAGTCACCACGGAATTGATTGCCGATGTTCCAAAGGCGGCGGAGATGAACAGAAAAGGGCAAGATCGACAAGTGCCGTTTAATTCGACGATGAAGTTGCGGGAAGGAAACGGAAAAAAAAAAAATTCGACGGGAGCACGAAAACGAAAAATCACACGGCGAAGGGGGAAGAACGTGCGCAGGTTGAGGTTTGACGAGATGAAAGACAAGGACACACAAGGTGCACGGCAAGAAAAGTGCAGGACGCCGATCAAGGGTGGAATCGTATCCAATACGTATCAAAAATGGAAACTGAGGCGCAACCATAATCATGACAAGAGAGCACGCGGGGGGTGGTGGGGGGGGGGGGGCAATGAAGCCAAAAGAAAATACCATGAAAGCGGGAACAGATGAAAGGAGGAGATGGCAGAAGAATGGAAATGTTCGGCTGGGGAGAGAGAGAGAGAGAGAGAGAGAGAGAGAGAGAGAGAGAGGAAGCGCCAAGGTAGAAAAGTCCCAAGAAAAATCAAGCGAGAGAGTATCAAGGGAAGAAGCAAAAGTTGAATCGCAAGGAGCCAGGTGAGTTGAAGGCCCGAAGCTAAACTGTGGCAAAGTGAATCAAGGTCAGGGGGATTGTACTGATTCGAAATACTCTTTGAGAACATTCTTCACACCTCCCACGCTTGGTCGTCTGCGTTGGAGACAGACGGCGGTCCGACAAAAAAAAAAAAAAAAAACGTCGCTGTTATTGTCTTTGGATGGCCTGGCAAAATGTTTACTTACCCGTGAGGTGAGTCCGCCCCTGACTTCAACCCTGTTGAGAGCCTTTGCCGGCATCCTCAAACGAAAACCATCTCGGAGGCATTTGGCATCCCAAAAAAAGGCTCTTCTGATATCCTGCAATTCGAGCAGAAAATCTGTCGCTGATATCAAAACGAGCTCCTGCATCGATAGCGCCGCTCACGTGTAGGCCAATTAGGAGCTGTTTTATTGGGCCGCCGTTCGCGGCGTCTTGCGTGGGCGCGCCAGCTCGCGCGCAAGTGCGCACGCTTGTACCAGAGGGAAGGTTGGCGAGTGTAATTGAATCATATTACTTCATCCGCACGCCTTGTCAAGGCCCTTTTATGATCGGATGCTAATCCGCCAGGGTGTTAAGCATTGATTTTAGTTCCGTATTGACAAGTTAACGTCAATACCGCAAATGATTATTTCTGCCGGATTTGAAATTAGCTAAGATTGCGGTCGAATAAACAAGCCGCAAGCTAGCATACAAATCCTTGAAAACTTGAGCTGATGAAACGGTTCTTCCCTGGGTTTTACTTGAGTAGATCCAAACAAGTAACAAGAGTTCATCAAAACCCTTGACAGCATTGGAGTACCTGAACAAGGTTGGTTGGGGGGGGTTGGGGGGGGGTTCTGTGGACATGCTTTGTAAATCTCTGCCGCACTGAGCTAAGATGCTGTCCTCGTCATATTTGTTTCTAGATGACTGGCTGGTAATGGCGGACCGCAGCAGCTCATCCGTAGGTTTTTATTGACCTTTACGATTTTCATCTGCAGTTATTAGTAACAGTGCTGACAAATCCACTGCTTGGCTTGATGGGCTGTGAAACCTTGATTGGGATTTTGTATTTTTTTTTTTTTTTGATGAGGAGAAGGAGTTTAGTTTGCCGCTTTGTTTCTGCAAATGACAAGCACGATGATCAAGTTTGGTCAACGGTTGTTAGGATAGAATTTTTTTTTTTTTGATGAGCTCTTTTTTTGGATGGTTTTTAATTAAAAAATAATAATAAGAAGAAAACCTTTATTCATCTCACAATGAGGAAATTCCCAATTTACAGCAGCAAAGTTATGAAAGGAAGAAAGTAGAAGAACAAAAAGTATAGGAGCTCCAGAATAAAAAAAAAATTAAATAAAATAGAACACAAATCTTCCCCACATCCACTTCAAAGTTGAGAAGTCGTGGGTTCAAATCCCGCCATTGACCTTGTGAGGAACTGGCGTCGTCTCACCATGCTCGAGCAAAAACAGCATAATATCAACAAGACTGCTTGGTTAGAACACCCCACCGATCAAACGCGTCCATCCTGAACAGGTGGCCCAGCTAATGAGGATAAATTATTGCTGGACACATTGATCATAGACACTTCGAATGCACATCACAGCCCCAGCTCTGCTTCTTTCGGTGGAGGACAAGAAACTCAATCCGATTCTCTCCGTAGCAACGAGCGAAGAGGAAAATTGCTTGAGGATTTTATTGTAGGCTAGACTTGCTTTTTTTTATAAAACACTACAATATATATATATTGTTTTGTCATATCGGCTACTTTCCACAAAATTAGCATTTTGTATGCAGGTGAATCAAATGGGGCTAAAGTGAAACATTTTTGTCCCGAAATGACCCAACCCCGGATAAGTGATGATGGATGGATGGACAGCAATCTTCCATCTTCTTCATTACCAATAATAGTAGGGTGTGCACACTTGTGCAATCACTATCCCAGTTGGTTATTTTTGCTTCTTCCCTTGATTTTTTTTTTCTATGGAGTTGTGTCGATGTACATTAATGCTGGAAAATGTATTGAATGATTTGTCTTGATCCCTTTTTTATATATAACAGAATCTGGAGTTTAAACCAGGTGCGTGTCGACTTTTCACATCCACCGTTGACATAAATTTACAATCTGCGCGTGTATGTAATAGTCGTCTCGTGTGCGCTGAACCCTCAGACAAATGAAATGATATCATGTCAGAAATAAACTGACTGGATTTCTTGAACAAACAAAACATTTATTTCCCGTTGTCGGAAATTAATATGAAAAGTGACATCGGTTGGCGGTGACGTGTGATGGATGTCGCGGAAGACGACTCCGGGTGGTTTATGAAAGAGCGAAAGTCTTTCATCATTTTTTATTGTTAACTCCAACCTTTCAGTTGCGTGACTGATGGATGTCCCTAATCCGTAAAATGATTTTGACATCCGCACAAAGCATTGATGTCGTCGAGGAGAAAAAAAAAAAAAGACCGATGTCGGAATTGACTGCTACCGACGGCATCTTGATGTGTTTTTTTTTTTGTTTTTTGTTTTTTTTTGGCATTGCGTTAGCCGTAATATGTGTGTGAGTGTGTGTGTGTGAGAGAGAGAGAGAGAGAGAGAGAGAGAGAGAGAGAGAGAGAGAGAGAGAGAGAGAGAGAGATTACATAATCCGGAACTGCCAGTCAGGATCAGATTCATTTAATCTGAAAATGAATTGGTTTCAGGTTACAGGTCGAGCATCAGGAGGAATATGGAAAGCCCACATTGAATTCCCAAACCGAGACTCGAATCTGGACCGTTTTGATGAGGCTGCTTGGATTAGCATCTGTTGCTTTGATCGAGAAAAATAATCCCGGAAAGTTAAGAATAAGATCAAATAAGGGGGAATTTGCATCATTTCAGCAGAAATAGTAACTAGAGAAAAAAAAGACAATCATAAGAGAAGTGCAGTACACAAAGTAGAAAAATAAACTACCGTCCGTTTCTGAACCATCCAATTTATCCAACCATCCAGTGTTCTGTGCGTATACTCTGACAGCTGCAGGAAGAAGCGGCGTAAAGGTCTGTCGAAAACCCACCACAAGTTTTCCAGGAATGTCCCCCGAGAGCCCTCAGCTTCCTTCGCGATAAAGTGTTTGCTCCGTTCTGTCGAGAGCGTCTCCGTTGTTGCCCCGAGTATAGTTTGTTGTTGAAGGGGCAGAGGTCGCGGGGGTCACGATGACGTTCGGATTGACGCTGCGGCGATGAATATGAAAGCAAACACGGGAGACCTCATTTGGATCATAATCCATGAGATGAGATCGAGCAGCAGAAGACATACTGTCCATCAAAAAAAATTCCCAAGTGTCTTAATAGCATGCAAGTGACATGGGGTTTCATTTTGCAGGACAGCTGTATTTCCCCCCCCCACCCCCTCAACCGTCTCATAAAAGTAACTGACTTTTATTCCAGTTGCTGAGCCAATGGCAAGTAAAAATTTCATTGTCAAGCCTACCGAGGCTGGGGCAAGGGGATTCAAAAGACAAGCAAGAAATTTCACGGGTGTTGCAGAAGCAGGAGTGCTGAATGTGGACATGCACCCCAAAAATAAATCAAGAAATAAAAACGACCATCAAGATCTAAAAGCGTTTTTCACTAATAGAGTCACGACTTCATCACCAAGCCACGTCAGGGCAGAGAAATCTGACCTAGTTGTGGATAATATTATTACGATTGTTATTATAGAACAACAAAATGGAAGTTCAGAACAATTTGCTCAGAGTCACGTTTTCAGAAAGAGTAAGATCTCAGTATTTATGCGCTTGTTTAATTTCGCACTTGATGGCCGGGCAGACGCTCGAGAGACCCAACAACCATGTGCGTATACAAAATGATTAAAATCTAACTTTTCCATAAGTCCCCTACAAATTTCACCGCCCGCCCGTAAATAAAAATGCAACTTGATTTCACCGGTTCCAGAGTCAAGGGAATATTGAGTCCATGTTTGACGACTCACAAATCTGAATATGTAAATTGAACAAATTAGATCCATACACTGTGGTGACAAATGTATATGTATATATCGTTTTAATTTGATGTTGTTTTTCAGAAACGAAGCCAGGAACTGGTCTGTGCAAACCGGGGACCATCACTCTCTTTGGGAACGTGGTGTACGGCGGGCTCTTCAACGAACACTTTTGGCATTTGGGGGTTCCCCTCGTCACCAGACTGGTGAGTTCACATTTTTCTTCTCCTTATCGTGTCAACTGCTGGCTTTGGTCGTCTCCGCGCACTCAGCGACGCACCCCACTTGGAGTTAGACACTAACTCCACAACGCTTATGCTGTTTTTTTTGTTTTTTTTTGGTTTCAAAGTGGGTCAAGAGGTCGTGACGAGCCGTTTTTTTCAAATGTGAGTCATTTCCTTATTTACGCGTGTATTGACATGGCTTTTGTCACCTTCGACGAGCGGATGATGTCCTCTCGACGCACGCTAATGCGATATTGGTGGTGTTTCAATTAAATTTGAATTAGACTGTAATCTCTTGCGTGTCACTTGCTGATTGCAAAAGCTGTGTTTTATTGAGCTGCTGATAAATGTTATAGTTGATTGATATTGATGTTGTCTCCCCCATGCCCGGGAGACAACAGAGGATATATGTTGTTGGCTTGCTTGTGTGACGTGCTGCAGCAGCGTTATAAGATATCTCATATTGTTTCCTCTGATAGTCTTTGTGGTTTTATACCGGACTGTGGAGTTACTGGCGGCAAGGTGGTCGACCGGTTCGCGCGCCGGACTCGCAGTGCAGAGGGGCAGGGTTCGATTCCGGCTGATGTGGATTTTGAATGTTCTCCCCCGTGCCTGCGTGGGTTTTCTCCGGGTACTCCGGGTTCCTCCCACGTTCCAAAAACATTCATGGCAGGCTGATTGAACACTTAAAGATTGTCCCTCGGTATGTGAGTGTGAGTGTGTGTGGTTGATTGTCTATGTGTGCCCTGTGATTGGTTGCCGACCGGTTCAGGGTGTCCCCCGCCGACTGCCCGAAGACAGCTGGGATAGGCTCCAGCACACCCGTGACCCATGTGAGGGTAAGCGGATTCGAAAATGAATCGATGGATGCATAGCTACCTTTCCTTGTGGCAATATTTTGCAAGTCAAAGTCAAGTAGGATTTGTTGCGAGGCGAAATTTACCAGGTTCATTTTTACCACTGTGAACGTCTAAATAAATAAAAGAGTATTTCCACTGGCCATATTTTATTTACACCGCTATGTAGTACACAACTACATCCAATCCCGAAGAGCATTTCTGATGCCGAGTGTCTCACAGCCGCATCTTCAAAGTGAGCGGCAAGATTCCGGGCGTCGTCTTTTAAATTTGCAGCTCTCATCGCGTTGCAGAGATTTGGGGTGTGTTACGCCAAAGCGGAGCGCGAGGTCATTATCTGCTCGCATCAGCTCCGTTAATGGTAATTTTGCTTCAAGACTTGGCTGTTATCGCTGATGATGATCATCATCATTACCGTTATGAGCAGTTGGCCATTTGCGGCTTGGCTGTTTACACCACGAGAACCAAAATAAAGAAATAAACAAATCGGCAGGCCATAATGCCCGATGATGGCCGTGTTATGCAGCCGACTAACTTGTTCAAATTCCTCATCTCAAAATTAGAAAGATTGTTCTACAGAAGATGAGATGAAAGCCTTGCCTATATTTTATTTATAATTTTCGAAACGCTACGGCAATTGCATTGCTTTATTGTTGCGATGTAATTTTTGGGCGCTTTTTCAAAGAACGGCGCTCGACTATTACTATTGATGGGTTGGAGTTAATGCAACCGTTGCAGAGAATTTATACAATTTCGAGATCTTGCTAACAGCTGTTGAGCACTGAAGAGGTTTGTTCGTTCAGCTTCACAATTGAGATTTTATTTTGAGACCGGAAATGGCTTTTCTATACACTTGACATATTTGTGATTGAAGCCTTAGCTTGATAGAATCCCTTTAGCATTGTTCCATGTTCACGAAAAAAAATAAAATAAAATAGCAATGCCGTCGATCGACAGCATTTATCCCTTGGGTTGTGGAGGATGAGGATGATTTTGAGAAGAAATGATGGTTTGCTCTGTCCAGACTACATGTCAATCAAAAGGTTGAAGAAAAAAAAAAGAAAACGAAAAAAGACAATAGCACAGCTTATGGGCGAAATCGACACTAGCCAAAACAGTATTATCAAACAAAGCAATTAAAAACAATGTTTGATGAAGAAATAAAATATTAGACTTCATAATGGGGCCAAAGGCAGTTTAGCAGCATGCTAGCTTAACAACGAAAGATAAAAAGTTCTGCACTTTAACATGACTTCTTCCGGAGAGGAAAATTAAAGCCTTAGTTGAATACTAAACAAGAAAGATTAAGCTTTGTTCTTTTCAAAAGACGTTTCTACTAAGTGCTTATATATCACCGACACTCCCTAGCGGTAGCGCAAAGCTAATCAGGATTTACCGGTCTAAACTGACAGGTGCGGGAAACATGGCTAAAGAGAGGTGGGGAAAAATCAATACATCCGGCTTGACAAACAACCTCAAAGTTTGTCTTTTTTTTTTTTTTTTAATAATTTACCGATGGATGTTTTTGTCTTGAATTTAGTAAAATAAGAATTCTACTGGCTTGCAATACTATCAAAGCATCCCAGAGTGAAATGTGTTGCCCAGTGGCGGAAAGCTTGGATGCAGCTGCAAGTCACACGTCCTCCCAAAAATAAAATAAAATAAAATTAAAAAATTGCCGGACTGTAGCCCGGCACATGAAACTAACATGTAGGCTACATTTCAACTTTTTTTTTTTTTGGGGTCCAAAATCGAACATGTGCTGCCCTGGGAATAAATTCTCATCTAACTGCCGGTCTCAAATTTCAAATTTGCTAATGATCAAAGGTGCAGTTCACCAGCGTAGAAAATGACCCGCAGTAATTTGTAAAACGGCAAAATGAAGATGAGCCATCAAGAGAGCATTACACTGAGCAGGCAGAGCGGCGGACTCAATACGCTTACTGCAGCACATCAGAGCCTCACCCGCATCAGCTTTTGGATCAAGTCATTGTCTGTATGGCTAATGCTGATGTCGGTACTTTTTTTTTTTTTTTTTTTTTTTTTAATCGGCAACAGTGTAATGGAGAATTGCGTGATGGTATTAGTAGGTTATAACGAAGCATTTTTCTCAACTCACTTCAATAATCACATTTATCCGCAGTGTAGTGCACCTGCAGCATCTATCGTGTATTGTTTGAAAATCCATTCAATCTGTCGTATGGTCGCGATGCAAGTATGCACTTCTTGTTTGCTGATGTTCAAAAATGAAGTTTGACTTGAAAGCAGAAACGCCACGTTGGTTTTCGGTGATGAGCCGTCCCGATGACTTAAATCGGAATCAAATGTAGGGAGTCGATCGGCTTCGCTGCACCTCTTCATCCGCGCTACAAATTTTGCATATGACAGTATTCTGAGTTTGTGTACAGGGACACGCATGCTGCTGCCATTTTTTTTTTTAAATAAATCATTTTGTTGCCGTAAAAAAAGAAACAGTGCACACGTTGTTTTTTTCTTGTATTGATTAATCTTAACGTCACATTTGTGCATTAACCTTGACAATGGACCCTTATGTGTGTTGCTGTCCACTGTCATCCAAGGCAATTTTTTTTTCCATGCCTGAAAACTACTAAAAAAAAAAAGAAAAGAAAAAAAATCCTCATGTAGGCTCAATCCAGAACTATCTTGCCTAACCAAGAAGCTAAGAAAAAACTGCCGAATGCCAGATTTGTTTTTCTCTCACTTGCTGTCAGTCTTGTTGGAAGCCGAATGTTTTTTGTTTGTTTGTTGTTGTTGATGATGATGATGGGTGAGATGCATATAATACAACCCCCCCCCCCCCCCCTTAAACAGGGTCTGGCTTATGCTGGTGTTGACGGTTTGAGCAAGGCGGTATTTTAGCCAGCGCCGGAGCGAATGTGGCGGCTTATCTCAGTGGTTGTATTGACTGCAACAATGACGTGAGGGTCGCTGGTTGGTGTTTGAGGGCCAAAGTTGCTGAGCCAGGCGAGTCTTCAATCCTCACCCACCCTCCTTCTCTCCTGCCTGTCTGTCTCACGGCGCTTGATTGCAAACACAGCCATCACATGAAAGCGCGCTTGGTACTACCCCCCCTTGAAGCACAATTTCCTACGTGGCATATTTCTGTTTTAATCTGTGGACTGAGGGGAGGTTCAAAAATAGTTTTGCTTACAGTCATGCACCAGACACCAAGTGGCTGTCTTCCACCGGTGAAGGATTTCCCATCAATTTCCAACAAGTTACGTCCAGCCTGTAAAGCGAGCACGTGGGCTCGGTCTTCCCCCTCCCACCCGCTCATGTTCACGTCCTCCCCTTCTGCATCTTTCCGCTCTCCATCCCACCCCCCACCCCCCTCCACACTGCACTTGTTCTTCCCTGTTGCAAGATCCCGCGCTATCGCTCAGTCTGGTTAACTCCAGCTCTTCCCATCCCCCCCCCCCCCCCACTTTGTATCTCCTGCCGTCTTCACCCGGGGAACACTAAAAGAAGAAAGTCTCACACGTGCCTCCCTCGTAAAACACCGCCGCCGAAACCGAAGCTGCTCGGGACGATAATAGGAAGCAGAGGGAGGAGGCGGGCGAAAAGAAAAAGTGGAGAGATATGACAAGAGGTTGGAAAGTTGTGAAGAGGAGATAGAAGAGAGGCAAAGCGGGGGGAGATACGGTAGCAACGCCTTAGAGCACTTTCCCCCCCTTTTTTTTTTGCCTCTCTCCGTATTGTTTCACCCCCCACCCCCCTCCTTGCTTCCCCCTTTTGGCAAAGAAGAGGCTGTGTTTTTAGTGGAGAGGAAGCAGCTTGAGGTTTTCTGCAGCAACTCCGCGAAGCCAACACAGTCGGCGGGAGCGGGGAGACCGACCGTCTTCAGGGGCGGCGGGACACATAAAAGGGACTTTATAACTTGGCTACATATCCACAAACACAGGGGCAATTAACTGGTTGTCAGCAGACGGCGCGGCCAAAAATTACATCCCACAGAGAGGCGGGAAAAAAAAAAAACAAAAACGTGAAAAGACTGAGGAAGTAGGACGCACTCCGCAAGACGGGATAGACAAAGTTTGACCGAGATTGTGTTCGGATATCATGGGCAGACATATATTATTCAATGATAGATGGGGTACGGGATGG